AAATATGAATATTCCATTTACTTTCCAGCTTAACCTGCTAATTAAACATTAAAATCACCTGAGCCTCCCACATGGAATGCATGTTTTCAAAAAGTATCTTGCTGAAGTTGTAATTCTTAACTCCTACTTAGCTATGTTTTGACAGCATATTCTAATCATGTCAAAACTGGTTGTGATTTCTGATTGTTGATCAACCACAAAAGATGGAGGAATCCATGGCACTTCTAAAAATGAGCAAAGAAGTAAAATGCTTATTTTTAAGACTACTATTCTCCCACAGTCTATATTGCTTGTTTGTGTGCTTTTTGCTTGTGTTTTTTCTTTCTTTACATGCCAACTGACAGAAGTGCACTCAGGGTTACCACAGACAAAACACATTTAAAGATAGGTGAGCAAATAACTGTCAAAACTAATAAAGTATTTTTAAGCATCTGATAGGTGTGTTTGCTTGTGTGTGTGTGTGTGTGTGTGTGTGTGTGTGTGTGTGTGTGTGAGAGAGAGAGAGAGAGAGAGAGAGATGGAGTGAAGACATGTTCTTAGTATACTCCTAATTATACTACCCCAGTAATTAAAATTACCTTGAGTTGCTAAGTTAAGCAACCTTCCCTCCACTGTCACCCTTTCTCTTTTTTTTCTTTCAAACTAGTTGAAAGAAGATATTAAATTCTTGCTCAGAATATAATACTTGAAACATGTTTCCCTAACCCAAGGAATAAAAATATTGAAGAGACTGCCCTTTATTCTGTGGCACTCTATTATGCTGTTGTGGCAAAGGATTAAACAGAGCAACATGCACATAATTTCATCAAATAACTCGCAAAGGTAAGAGAGTTAAGACTAGAGGGAAAATGAGTCAGCTACAAGCAGCATTATTTCATTAACAGTCTATTGCACAACCAGAAGAGGGCACTCATCTCCTACAAATGATAGCAAACTTTAACCAGAAAAGGCAATTGATCGGATGTTTCTTCAAATAAAGGGCCTCACTTCTAATGTATCATCATAATAGTTATCCAGACTTTTTTAATGATAAATGATGAACTGATAATATTTTATAATGTCAAATAAAAGCCAAAATGTACAGCTACATTTGTGGTATTTTAGTAAGTAGCCCAAGATGTTAAGCTGATTTATAGAGATTCTTAGAGAGAATTCTTAGAAAGTCTTAAACCTCTAAGATGCTTGGCCCATTTTCTTAATTTTTTAATTCAGCAGGTCCCAAAAATTCTGTCTGGATTCTGTCTCCCTGTGCCTACCAGAACTCAAGAGTTGCCTCCAGACAAATAGCTGGGGCAATTTTAAGGCTCACATTGTTTCATTTTTCTTAGGGGTCATAGACCTGTGCTGGTTGTTATCTAATGTCTGTAAACACGTTTGTCATGTATTCTAATTTGTTGAGAGTCATTAGATCTGGATCTTACTACCCATCATGGTTGGAAATGGGAGTCAATATTTTCTTTATACTTTCTCATTCTCTCTGCTTCACTAATTATCTAGTTCTTTTAAATTTCTCTTTCCCCATTTTGAAATATGAGAATGATTTATTCTTCTTAAATAATAATAGAAATAGTCCCCGAAATTGTTCTCATTATTCTCATTCTTATGGCATGAAATGATATATCAAAAACAATAAAACCAACTGTTCCTTTTGAACATATTCATGGATATTAAGAATATATATTGACATCCCAAAGTAGGTCAGCAAGTCCTGTAACTTAGTTCCATTAACCTATTAATTTTTTTCTTTCAATTATAGTACTATACATTTTTATTCAACTGCAAATTATCCTTATTTATTATCAGGTTACATGTCAAACAGATCTAATTGACATTGCCTCCTCTGCCATTCAAGAGACATATGACCTTGAAAAAATAAATAATATATTTAAGTCACAGTTTTCACTTCTGCAAAAAGGGCAATAATATCATTAGTCTTGCAAGGTTGTTTCAGGAGTTATGATAACATTATAAGTGTCGATAATGTTCCTGGTATACCGTCAGCACTTGATAAACAATGTTGGGTTGGACATCTTCTAGTCTTTTCACAAGGTCTATTCTCCATAGTTCTGCTCTCAGCTCTGGGAGCCTGATGTCTATTCAAAACAAGTAAACCAACACATCCTAGTGCTGGAGGCTAATGTGGAGAACCTCAGGAAGACAGAGGCTGGGAAGCAAGGGTACTTACTCCATTCCCTTGTTTCTTTTCCTGGAGCCTCTTCATGTTCCCTTAAACTTCTTTATTTTTTATTGTTCTCTGTTTTAGTAAGCTCTTAGACATTTTCTGGTGTCCAGGAGTTTTTGCACTATTAGTGTCCATTCATATTATCCATTCATTTGTAATTAGACCCTTTGTAAAAAAACCTCTTTGAGGCATTCTGACTTGAGGGTTCCATCTGTTTCTTGTGGGGACATAACTGACATTTTTCTTATCTATTTCCATTATATTATATTTCTTTCATTTTTAAAAGTTTGAATAGCCTTAGGTCATGACAATTTAGTGCTCAGATTACTTTGTGGTCAAATTAGGGGTGATTAAAATTCTAGTTCCAAGAATTATTGTGAAGACCAAGAGATGATGTATGTGAAATATATATTTTCCTAGTAGAAAAAAAATCAAATAATTTTATCTTTTTATTGACTCTAACATGTTTTATTAATGATTTATAATTTCACATATTTCTATATGCATATAAATATGTCTATGTGTATATACACTTACATAGATGTGTATATACATGAATATGCATTTATACATATATTTATGCATTTATCTATATGCATTTATCTACTCAGAAAGAGAGATTGAGATAAAGAGAATTAAAGAGAATTCCTTAGAGCAAGTCCTAAAAACTATCTTTAGTCAACTGTTAAAAATAATAACAGGAAGTATAAGTGCTCTAGACAAATTAAAATGCAAAGATTGTCCTACTGGATGAAAAACAAGGCCTAGTATATGCTGTCCACAAGATTTCCACTATAAAGACATATAAGTAAAAAGTAAAAGGATAGAGAAGATAAACCATGCAAGTACTAACAAAGAGAAAGCTGGAATGGCTACATATTAACATCAAAGAAGACTTCAGAGAAAGGAATATTACCAATGATAAAAAGGCACAGTGAAATTCACAGTGATAAAAGGATCAACTCATCAAATAGATATAAATATCCTAAATGTATACGCAGACAGTTATAAAGCTTCAAAATACATGATGCAAAACTGATAAAACAGAAAGGGAAATAAAAAAAACTCACAAATGTAAATAGATATTTCCACATTCCTCCGAAGAAATTGATAGAAAATTTATACAGAAAATCAGGTATTATTATATAGAGGACTTGGTAATCACCATGAACTAATTTGACTTAGTTTATTTATTTAGAAAATTCCATTCAATCAACAATTGCAAGTGAATACTTTTCAAGTGTATATGAATAAATCTACAAAGTACACAGGGATTTCTCATAGACACTAACTAATTTGAAATATTATATTTAAATTCAACAATTTTGAAAAGGAAAAAATTGGAGGACTTAAGATTACAGAAAATTATTTATTGTATTTCATGAAAATTAATATTTTCAGTCTGAAAGAAACCATTAAGAAAATTTAAATGCAAATGAAAGACTGTTAGAAAATATCTAGAATACAGAAAACTTACCCAGGTTTAAAGAAAGCTTACAAACTAATAAAAAGCCAAACCAGTAAAAATTACCAAATATGTATACACACACTTCAGAAAATAGAGACACAAAAATGTGCTCAATGTCCTAAGCCACCGGGGAAACAATAATTAAAATCCAAATGAGATACTTTAGAAAATATCCACACAAAAACTTGTGTACAGAAGTTTTTAGGAGGTGTATTCTTCATAGCCAACAATGGCCCAAGGATGGGGGTAAGGGGAACATACCCAAATGTCTGCCAACAAATGAATAAATAAACAAATTGATGTGTGTTTATATAATGCATACTGCACAGTTGGGAGAGTAGCTGCTTGAATATTTATCTTACCCAGCTTCTGGCGCCAGCAAGCCAGCCTAGTGAAAGAAACAGATACACAAATCCTCTTGAAGCCTAAATTTGGGACCGGTATATACTCTCATTTCTGCCTCATCCTCTTGACCAAATTAAGTCACATGGCCAAAAAGAGATTCAACAGGGTGTGAAAACAGACCCTATCTCTTCAGTGGAAGGAACCACAAAGTCACCTGGCCAAGAATGTGAGTCAGAGATGTACAGGCATCAGGGTCATTAATATAATAGACTAACAGATCTAGTAACTTTTCTGTTACTTTTGCTCATAAATTAGTTTGTTTCATTTTTATAGCTGAGTACATTACAGTGTTGACTTCCACTGTGACTAAAATCACCTTTTCTAACTATGTTCACTAGATCTATTTTTAGTGGTCATCTAGAATGTTCTTGACTTTGCATGTCTATAGACAATTTTACTGATTTCAGATTTCTATTTGCACTAGCATTTTTGTTATAGACAATATTTTCTGTTAATAAGAAGAATCTTATCTCAGTTTCTCCAATTTCTGTATCTTCTTGTACTATTGCATTGTTTAGTTTTAAATATAGTGATAAATAACAGAAACACTTCCAAACATGCCCTCTTCTCCATTTTAACTTTTTTAAAGAATCCATTAAAATGTTAATATTGTTTTATTCAGTGTTTAATCTCATTTACAAAAATATTTATCACTTTCTACATACATTATGATCTTGTATCTAATTACACATCTCTATATTCACTTTTTTCTCCTTTAATAACTTTTAGTGAAGGTCTGTTATAAATATATAGTCTTTGTGTATTTGAAAACATTTTTATTTTTCTTTCACTCCTTAAACTACTGAAGCTGTATATCAAATTATTCCTTGACAGCTTCACTCCACCTCTGCCTTTAAATTTTAAAATATTATACCACTGTTTGTTGGCCTCTATTACCAATAATGAAAAATGAAAAGCCATTTTCCGTAAGTCATATATATATATATATATATGGAGCACTTCACAAATTTGCATGTCATCCTTGCGCAGAGACATGCTAATCTTCACCGTATGGTTCCAATTTTAGTATATGTGCTGCTGAAGCAAGCAGTCATATATTTCTTTCATTGGAAAGCAACCTTATTTTTTTATAGGCTATAATGCAGTTTCCTTATTTTTGATGATATAACTTTTCACTACACTGAGTGAATATTCACTTATATCTTTTAATTAAACCAACTCCATATTCAAAGCACATTTTTAATCTAAAAAGTAATTACTATTTTCAAATCTGGAAAATTTATCTCAAGTATTGTTTATACACTTTCTTCTTTTGGCAATGTTTTCAATGGATTTTGGATTCTCAATCTGTCTGTCTCTCTTAATTACTCTTTTTTTCTTTTTCAGTTGTATTCTATGTTAATTTCTCCATTACATATTCTTAGTTCTTCATAAGCTGCCCTCTGAGTGCATTTATTAAAGTATATTCACTTACTGCACTTTCCATTTAAATGACTGTATTTTTCGTATCTGAGATTTCTAATTGGTTACTTTGATAGACACCTGACTTTTCTTCATTTATGCCTGATTTTATTTCATGATCTTTTTTAAAGGAAATTTTACTTTTATTTGTCTCTCCATCCTCAAAACAATATCTTTAAGAGCTTTGCATGAAATAAATTTTGTATGTAAAACCTAATTATTCAGATTGTTGATTCCATTAGCTGTCTTAAGAAGCAGGATTGTTTTTTTCTTCATGTAACTTTGCATTGCAAGCCCGTTTTTAGCAAAATATACATTTTTTTTTGTCACTCTCTCCCTTAATAATCAACTTTAGCTGTCCAAGTATTTCATGATTACCTGTTTCCAGGCCTCTAGTTTCAGGAGTCAGAATCAGCTCAAATAATTACACCTGGGTGTGATTGCCCCGTCGGGATATAGCCCTTTTCTCTGCAGTGGTTAGGGCTAGTCACTGGAATTGGATAGAGGATAAATGCCGCGCCCAATGGCTTTGTTTGATTGGTTTAGATTCCAGGCACTGAATGCAGATATCTTCTCAGTGAATTCGCTCATGTGAGCAGATGAGATGACTTGTACCTCCCCACCCTCGTCAGACACTATAACTGTCTGAATCTCTATAGAGTCTTAGCTAGAATGATGACAAAAAAATAAGAGGGGTTGAAGCACAGAAGCCATTTTTATCCTACCTGGAGGTCTGGAGATACCTGTCTGAAGATACATACTAAGTACGAATGTGAGCATAGCCTCTTCTATTCGCTACATCCATATCAACGTCATCGGAAAAGTGGAGTAAGTTGGGAAAAGAAAAGGCATTTCTGGATTGCGCTGCAGTTACTACTGTCCTTATGTTTTCAAGTGACCATTGTGAGGGTGAGTGCGTGCAGGTACAGGGGGTCTGAGCAGGACACCCACACACAGCAGGATGAGTTATAGACACATGTCATCACAATGGAAAACATATCTGATCATTCAGTTTGAATGACTATGAGTATTATTTCATCATGTGAATTTACAGTAATGATCATTCCCAATGATGAACATTTCAATTGCTCCTATATTTTACTATGATAAAAATAAGTGTAATTAACATTGATAAATATTTTTAAACATTGGCTCCTTTTCCCTAGTGTAAATTAAGATAGGACAGTGAGTTAAAGATTAGGTATAATTATATTCATATGCATGTTGCTAAGCCACTTGGTCCGTATTTTTGTTTCTATGTAATGAACTTTCAAAGATAGGGTTAATTATCTTGTCAAGATACAATCTCATTATTTTATATTGTTTTGCAGAATAGTTACTAACTATGCTTTTGGAGAACATGTTATTAATATGAAAAATTTTCACTTTTTTTACTTTATTGAAACTTTTATAATGAAATGAACTTTGCTTTATTTAACCTCACTAACAAAATTATAAGGCCATTTTGAGAAAACCACTGAAAAACTGGATTATAATATCAATATCTCTACTACAAACTGGGTTTTAAACTAATAAAATGTAATGGACTTAATCTATGATTTGTCCTTTTTAATATGAAGATGTATTATTTTCATTTGTCCCTTAGGCTTGGTACAGTCATCAGCGACATGACCATGGTATTGTGATCTGCTGCCCTCTAGAGAACTATAAAATGCTATTGTGGATATTATTAAATAAATATACCCTCCTGTATGCATAAACATACAAAATGAAAACATACATGCATTTTGCTGTGCATCTGACTCAGTCACCATCGCTGTGCCGGCTAGGACGGAAGCCCATGACGTCAGTGCTCTGGGCAGACCCAGAGGGCCTGGGAGGCCCAGACTTCCTCAGGAGGGCGCCAGCCCGCTGGGTGACAGGCACGCACCCTCAGTCCCGTGGCTGAGTGAAATCCCAAATGAGGAAAGCTTCAGAATCGAGGCAGAAGTCTAACTTCATTCCACAACAGTTAGTAGTTAATGCCATTCAGTCTGCAAGTGTGGTAATAATAATTTATTCAAACAGTGTATTTTATGCATTTCTAAAATTCATACCTTTTCTAGGTCTAACTTTCATGGAGTATATAGGACAGTTATCATTACTCTCACTTTATCATGTGCTGGCAATAATTTCCCACATTTATGACTTATTCCTCTCGGACTCCTTTGTCAAATTCTCTCCTTCTTTGCTGCCCCACCTTTCTCGTAAATATTCCCATCTACAAGAAATCCATTCAGCCGACACTGACTGGTACTGAGGTTCTATAAAATTATGAGACATGACCCCACAGAATAGAAGCTGACGTGTGATGAGGAGATTGGTGATCAAGCAAAATGACAGAATTGTGTGGAGGCTGCTTTTAAAAACAGTGATGCTTATCCACGGGTAGTGGGGGAGTTAGGACTTACTTTTTGGAGATGTAACAACTGACCCAAATCTTTCAAAAGTGAAATGGAATTTATCAGTCAGCATATGGAAGGTTTTCAAGACAGAACAAGCAGTAGATGCGAAGGCATGAAAATGTGAAAGAGTAAGTTGCAGGAGTCGTCCAGGTTTCTGACAGTAAGTGCCACGTGTGAGCCTGAAAGAGACTCAAAACAAGGCAGTTGTCAGGTAGTTGTAGGCCTTGAGGGGTGTGTTTGACAGGAAGGTTTTTAGGCTGCGAATGCTATTGTTATTTGTATTTTAAACAGGTCATATGTGGTCAGTAGTTACTATGGATAATAAATTGGAGCATAAAAACTTAATGTAGATGAATTACTATAATCAGATGACTATAGAAGCTAAACTTAAATGTCTTAAGAATCTCAACAAGGGCTGTGACAGTAGAGCCAAATGCAAGGGGTGAATGTGAGAAATGTTACAGAAGGTAAGTGAAAAAAACTCAGTTAGACGGTGTTACATAAAGATAACCGGAAGGGGTTATGGTGAGGGAGCCATAAACTAGCTGAAAATGAAACGCGGAACGTCCGCGGTCCTCTCACTTCCAGCAGCAATGCTGCGGAGCCCGCCCGCTTCCCCAAGTCTTTCTCCACACCGCGCTCCTCCTCAAACACTGCCTGTAAATGAAGCTGCAAACTGGACGTTTAGGGATTCCAGGGGCACCCAACCGCCAAATACCCAATATCCCCTCCTTCCTCCTGGCTGGTGGGCCTGCATCTTCGCAGTATAAACAGTAAAATCCCAGGTCTCTTCATTGTTTTTAACTCTAAGAGTAAGAGAGTGAAAATAATCTAGAGGCCCAAGATTTTAACTTTCATTAAGCACCAACATCATAGACTCTACCTCTTAATATTTCTTAACTCTAACCTCACACATTCATTTCTCTGTGAGAGGCTCGGTTCAAACTACTCAGACCATTATAACTGTCTCTTAATATGTATGCCTGCCTACATTTCATCCCTTCTATGAAATCCTCCAAACTGTTGCTGGAGTGATTTTTCTGTTTAGCTATGACTTTTCACACTTGTGTTAAAACCCTTGAATCTCCTCCTAACACTCCCCTGCCTAAAATATTGCGTTCACACCCCAAAATCTAATGGAAACCATCTGAACTCTCTAAAATGGTATGTAAGGCCTTTGGTAACTTACGCCTCATGTATTCTTTAAGCCGAAACAGGCAACCGCAGCACAGGATACAAAACACATTCCGGCCCCTCACCCCTGCCACGCCGTAGCCCAGCTGCACCGCGGACAGCTGCTCGTTTTGTCACTGAAGTCTTCCCCACTTCTTGCGACTTTCTGATAACCTCCCAATGCCTTCTCTACACATTTAGTTGAAATGTTCCTTTTCTGTGACATGCTCTCATATTTTCACTCGTCTCTAACAACACTGAACGCATTTGACCTTGTGTAGCATTGCCCCCCTAGCACCCCCACAGCACAGCACTCCCCAAAGGGGCTGTGATGGTCCATGGGCACACACGGGCACACTGCCGAGATACTGAGTGTGTTGTTACAGACCACTGCAATAAAGCAAATATTGCAATAACAAAGCAAGTCAAATGGATTTTTTGGTTTCCCAGTGCATATGAAAGTTGTGTTCACACTATACTGTAGTCTATTAGGTATGCAATAGAATTAGGTCTAAACAAACTATGTGCATACCTTAATTTTAAAATATTTTATTGCTAAAAAATGCTAACCATCTTCTGAGCTTTCAGTGAGTCATAATCTTCTTGTTGGTACAGAGTCCTGGCCTCAATGTTGATGGCTGCTGACTGATCAGTTACTGAAGGTTGGGGAGGCTGTGGCAATTTTTTAAGAGAAGACAACAATGAAGTTTGCCACATTGATGGACTCTTCCTTTCACAGACAATTTCTCTAGAGCAGGCCATGCTGTTTGATAACATTTTACCCACAGTACAACTTCTTTCAAAACTGGACTCAAGCCTTTCTGCCAACTGCCTTATCAGATACAAGTTTGATCAAAGATCAACTGCCACTGTTTTATCAAATGTAAGTTTATGTCATATTCTAAATCCGTTGTTGCCATTTCAACAATCTTCACAGCATCTTCCCAGGAGTAGCTTCCATCATAAGCAACTACTTTCTTTCCCCACCAGTAAGAAGCAGCTCCTTATCCCCGGGACTTTCATCATGAGAGATGAAACTCACTTAGC